AATTTCTTCAAGTATGAGGTCGCAGAGACCAAATATGGAAGATTTCAAACAAAAAACGTTTGAATCACAATTGTCAGCAATGCGGTTTAATTAACTCTATGGTCTCACTTTAACTTCTGCTTCATTGCCATTCTTTTGTTGACTAGATACAACTTTGCTCAACAATCGATCTGATAAATTTTAATTCAAAAGTTATTGATAGTTTTTTGACAAATTGCAAGACCCGTCAAGATGATTGTAAGCTGATTATGTCATTTTGTTAATTTTGATCTATACTTTGCATTTTTTTTATTGTTCATAAGCGTTTTAAAATAGATTCAAAGTAAGATACTTGTTCAAAGAAAAATTGAATTGAAAATTCAAAATAATACTGCAGACCAGAGGTAGGCAACCTTGTTTGTGCCATGGCATAACTTGATTTGAAGCCATTAGTGAAATCGAACACAACAAACGGATCGTGGGATATCTTGACTCACTGATGTGCCACGGCACATAGGTTTGCCATCACTGCTTTATAGATATTGTTTAAAATGTTTTGAGAATTAATGCTTCAAGGTTCAAGATTAGTCTTCATGTAGTTTAAGAAATGTTTGTATCTAGTCTGGGTTAGATCTTTTTCAAGCCTTGATCAGAAGTTTTCAAGATTTTTTGATGTATTTTAAAAAGAGAAAATTTGGTTTTATTTTGCATTTAAAAAGTACTAAAATAAATACGAATAGCTATGATGGACACCAAGTGAATACGTAAACATGCCAAAACAATTAATTTCATCAATTGAGCAGTAAAATTTCCATTCATGACACATAATTATTCATTTTCTGCTAGAATTGGAGGCTCAAAATGTAATAAATAAATCACCTGTCATCCATCAAGTAATTAATTAAATTTTTTAATCGTCCAATACCAATAATCAATGGAAATTTCCATCAGAAATAAAAATTATTTTTTCTGTCAGCCTTTTTTGGCTTTAAAAAAAATTGAAAAAAAAAATCTCACAAACAAAAAAAAAATCATCGTTGTTTATTTATAAACAGCCCATTCATAACATCACTGACTACTGCTGAAATCTAACGGCACTTTTCGTTAATTTCATTCATGTTTTGGACAACATCCAACCACTACCAACAAACAGCACACGAAAAAAGTAAACAATATTAAAACTTTTTAATAGGGAACTTACAAAATAATAATTAAAAATGACTTTACAATCAATTGGACTTGTTAGTTCCGATCTATGATTATAGTCGTGTGTCAAACAAATTGATATGACTTGAATTATCACTCATGTACAACACGCTAGATGTGACATAATTTCAGAGCGGTTAAATTGTGAAAATTACAGGCTTTTGAGTGAGAAAAAAAAATCATTTAAGGTTTAATGACTCATTCAACAATGTTTTTGTTTCTGTTATTAATATTCATTGAAACGTGAGATCATTTTTTTTTATAAAAATAAAAGGCTTATTAATATACAACGACTAAAGAGTTAATTTTCAAGTGAAGATGATTAAATCAAATAGGAAGAACTTATTTAATAAATTCTCGTAGTGAAATTAACATAGAATGGAAGTGAAGCTTAGTTCATTATTATCTATTTAAGCTAATATGCTCATTTATGTACACAAAGAATTATTCATTCTATCCGCAAATATTTATTTGGGAAGCTTATTTTTTGGAGGGAGTCATTTTTAAGTGCTGTCCATTTAGAATGGGATTTTCTTCGGAATTAAGAATTCTTTGAGTTTAGATTTTATTGAGATCTAGAGAACCATAGTAGTGCATGGTCAATAGAGGTGTCTTAACAATTCATCTTAGCATAGTCAGAAGGAAACCTAAAGAAATCAAAGTTAACACTAAGCTCCTGATGCCAACCCCAGTTTTAAATAGGATTCAAACCAATTCCTTGATGACAATACTGCTTGTACAGTATTGCCTCTTCCACAGATGTTGCCTCTTTGCTTCACTTCTCGACACATTACTAGAAAATGTGACAAATGTCGAGTCTCGAACCCAAGTTTGTCATGACATTGTGCACTTAATAAGTTCTGAATCACAAGTTGATTTTGCCTACTATCTACTTCGTGAGCTGAAGTAGATCGGGAGCGGAATGGTTTAGTACTTCGATACCTAATTACCGAATAATAAATTCGAGACTCGGCATGCGAAACTTTTTGCTTCACCTTTTTCGTATCATACGTATTGGAAATGAGGCTTAGAGCCTTACTTTGTAGGCTACAGGCAGAAATGTCATCAAAGAAATGATTCGGAGTGATCCCACTTTAAACTGCAGGTCTAGGTTTGAGTGATTTCCAGACTTCAATAAGTGTAATTAAATTAGGGTGACTGTTTGCTGTATTTTTGCCGTGACACTGCTGTACTTTTTATAATTTTTATCAGAGCTCGAAGTTGATGAAATTGAGTTTGACTCGGAGTCGACTCTGCCATACAAAATCGATGAAAATTTCGACTCTACTTCTAGCTCTGATTTTTAACCTCAGAATTGAAAATTTTACTCTCGATTTTAAATTATTTTGCACAATTTCTAGCATTTTTAAAGCTTCATTAAGCTAGTTATTAACTATGGATACATTAAATAACCAGCAAGTCCCTCTTACATTGGAAAACTGAATTATGTCCCTGTTTTTCCTAAAATGTCCCAAATTTTTCCAAAGAATAAAAAGTGACCCTACATTAAATGAGTTCTATTGATGACTAGACATCACAACCAATCATCCAGATAACTTTCCATTTGTTTACCAACAAAACATTTGCATTAAAAATTATGAAATAGATTTTTTATTCAACTTGTTGTTCATAATATGCTTACCTAATTTATCAGAAATCAAAAATAATGCGTAATAAATCATCGAATTATTGTTTGTACAAATTTGTGGAGGAGTCGTTGACTCGAATTTCAGCCTTGACGTTTGTTTAACCAAAAATAATTTTTTTGGACACATTTTTTGGGGTTATTGTTTGGCTATAATTTATGAATTGTTGTTTTTGTGATATTTTTTAAGCTGATATGCATGAAAGGTGACGTGAAGGTGCGAATGAATTTTAAGTTGTTAAGCGTTTTTACACAACTAGGTACTTATTGAGATATTGTGACATAGTCTAAAAATAGGTACATTTTTATCAGGAATGTTTCTTATCTTTTATGTATTTTGTGAAGCTTTCTTAGAACTAATCAAAATTATTTCTGAAGTGTTTTCTTTTAAACAATTTTAAACTTTTTTTCCCGAACAGCACAAGTCGGTTAATCGAATAGAAATCCGGGACAAATCTGGCATGATGCTGGCTTCGATTAAAGTCAAGCAACATGCCAGAGTCACTATAGCTTGATGTCAGAATTCTGATCGATTATCCGACTTTTGAAAGTTTAAAATATTCAATTTGCTATCTTAGCAATTCTTCCAAGAAAAACTCATCTTGACCTTAAAGTCATCATCTTATGACATTTCTAAAGCATCAGCAATCAACCTCAAGTCTAGACCAATCATAATAACGAAAAGCCGTCAACCCATGTCATTTAGCAAAATACTAATTTGTAGCAACACTCATTCAACTTGCGGTAACTGACAATGTTCAGTGTGTGTATCAGAATTAATTATCTCAGAAAGCCCGCATCAATAATAAAAACATAAGTTCACTTGGCTTCATTAAACTAGGTCATACCTCTTACAATTGCATTGTTTAGTATTTTTTTTTATTGACTGAGAAGATTTCTAAATGAATCTTTTGAAAGATTTTATGACAACAGATAAGTGTCTTTAATTGGAGATGATCTTTTCTGTAAATGTTGTGTAGATGAGCTGTTAAAAAAGGCTTAGATTTAATGTTTGTGATTTTTGAAAGCTTCAAAACTTGGAATCAGAATTTAAACTTGAAAATTGGAATTTACATTATTAATTTGAGAATTCTTGTATGTTAATATATGATAGTCAAGCCTTTTCCGAATAGCCCAAGTCGGTTCCTCGAATAGAAATCCGGCACTAAGCTGGCGAAACTCTGGCATTGATCTAAATTCGATTTGAGTCCAACACCATGCCAGAGATACTTCAATTGGTGCTGGATTTCTATTCGATTAAGCGATTTGTGCTTTTGGGATTGAGGATAACAAGACTGAGATCATCGGGCGCAGAAAGTAAAGACAGACAAGGGTTTAACTTATATATGGCATTAAGCCATAAAGCCGAATAACCCCCGATAGCTCAGTGACAAGAGAATGCAGCTAAAACCGTACCCGAATGGCACAAGTCGGTTAATCGATCAGAAATCTGGCACTTATACGGTGTATTTGTGGCATGGTGCTGGATTGAAATTGAAGCCAGCACCATTTCAGAGTCATGCAGGCTGGGCACCAGATTTTTATTCGACTTACCAACTTGTGCCATTCGGGGCAGGACATGGGTTCGAGTCTTACTCAGGATTCAATATTATTTTCTATGTTAAACAACGTTGTAGGTCAAAAATTCATTACCATTTGATTCAAACTTCTAAAGACCTTCCTAACATCTTAAGACCTCACAAAACATTACAAGATTATTATCAAACCTTATAATAAATTACAAAATATCTCAAACCTCAATTAAAAACATTATTAGCCTTCAATACATGTCAAAATCTTCTTGAACATTCGCTTATCTATTTCATCAATCCATACACATACCAGACAGATAAATGAACAATCGTAAGCATTATGACGCACCCAATTCAAGGAGAATACAAAATTATCTATTCATTACAGCTGTCATTCGTCATTATTAATTTATTTTGATGGAAAAATTATGATATCAACGTTTAAGGAAAGACAATAAAAATTCTTTCTTTTTTATCAACGACCAAACAATTTTTTTTATCACAAATCAGCAATTTTTTCCTGCATTGTTTAGAAACTTTATAATTAAAATTGACACTAATTTAACATGAACCATGGACATTTTAACTGACTCATTTCCTTTTTATATTTATTTTCATATTATTGTCAATTTGTCAAGATATCAAGCCGGCAAAATATACACCTACATTGGCGAGGTCGCAATATCTGTAAATCCATACCGTTCAATGAACATTTATGGCAATGAATATATCAGCAAGTATAAAAATCGTGAATTATTCGAGAATCCACCGCACATATATGCAATTGCTGATGCAGCTTATCGAGACTTGAGGCAGCAGAACAAAGACACCTGCATTGTCATCTCGGGCGAGTCTGGCAGTGGAAAGACTGAGGCATCGAAAATTATTATGAAATATATTGCAGCTGTCACAAATGCACATTCGCAAAATGATATTGAGAGGTTTGTAAAATTTCAAATTTCCTTATTAAGCTTAATTCGAGGATGTAGCTATAAATTATTCGGAAATGGGATATGATGAAGTGGAGTAGCAAGATGTTTTCATTATTGGACGGAAGTTCAATGGCCAATGGATAATAATACAGCGATTCCTAATCTTGCTCTTCCTACTTCACTAGCTTGAGCCCAAAATCCTTCCCTAGTCACACCTCATAGGTCGATTAAAACAAAAAATTGAAAAAAAAATCATTTCAGAGTCAAAAATGTGCTGATTCAGTCAAACACAATCCTTGAGACATTCGGAAATGCCAAAACAAATCGTAACGATAACTCATCGAGGTTCGGAAAATACATGGATATCGAGTTCGACTTTAAACACGATCCAGTTGGCGGTATCATCACGAATTTCTTACTTGAGAAGTCGAGAATTGTTCAACAGCAAGAAGGCGAACGTAATTTTCATTGTTTTTATCAAGTAAGTTATAAAATGAAACTTTTTCTTATCGATTCTGTGGATTAAAATACTTAAAAGTTATCAACATTTTTTTATGTACTTAATTATTACGAAATAAACTGAGAATCAGAGATTGGCTGGCATTAATTGTTGGTAATCTGGGGTTAGTTTTGTCGATGTATTAGATTTTTAAGTGGATTTTTAAGTTCTATGGGTGGGCGTGAAGTACGGCCGAGACCCATATCGACACAGTTCAAAAGTTAAACCTAATTTATGTCATAATTATATCAGCTACAAAAACACTTACTTTGAATTTTGTCACCCTCGGGAACACTATGAACCAGTATAGTCACTTTTTTTCTTTAAGGGTTTATAAAAATGGATTGAAACTTTGCATAAATATTTTAATGCTTAAAACAAATACAAATAAAACATCTTAAAAATTTTTTGAGCAAAGAACCAAGTAGGAAATACATTCTCAATTTCGGACTAGGGGCGACCCTAGTCAAATTCAATTTTGTCTTAAAACAAATACAAATAAAACATCCTAAATTTTTTTTGAGCAAAGAACCAAGTAGGAAACTAGATTTTGACTAGACCTGTCCCTAGTTCATAATTGAAAATGTATTTCCTACTTGGTTCTTTACTCAAAAAAATTTTAAATGTTTTATTTGTATTTGTTTAAGCACTAGAATATTTACGCAAAGTTTCAATCCATTTGTATAAACCCTCGAAGAATAAGTGGCAAAATTGATTTTGACTAGGGTCGCCCCTAGTCCAAAATTGAAAATGTATTTCCTACTTGGTTCTTTACTCAAAAAAATTTTAAGATATTTTATTTGAATTGACATAATTATGGCATAAATTAAGTTTAACTTTTGAACTGTGTCGATATGGGTCTCGGCCGTACTTCCCTACTTGCCCCTACTACCCTTACTGATGTACATTTTGGACTGTGCAGAACAAAAAAAACTCGTTTTAAAAAATGATGATTATATGATGAAAAGTTTGTGCCGTGGCTGGAAAAAGTTTGGGCAACACTGATTTATGGGACGTATTAAATTATTAGAATTTTCGGGACAACGTTCAGTGGTCAGTTTGTAAGGCTACCGGGGCACTCTCTACTAGTCTAAGATTAATTTTATTAATATCCCATAATATAAGGTCGTTAACTTATGATGTCCAATATTAACAGTCATTTTTCAAAAAAGAACAGTGGAATTTCTATTGTTCTATTGCTGTCCCAGACTTCATTCGCTATCAAAAGGCGCGTAACCATGGGGATGGTTGGGGGCGAATTGGGGATAAATCTCCCGACGTTATCAAAAACATTCATTTGCTAGGAGTTTTATGAAAAAAATCATAAAAATCCCCCCTCCTTCCCTCTGAATTTTCCATATAAAATTTTTTCTGAACCCCTCTTCAAATTCCTGGCTACGCCTCAGCCTATCACTATCCATGATTCAGTGCATCAAGTATGCTAAATATTGCAAAAAAAAATGCGATTACTTACTTATCTCGATCAGGACTGTTATTATATTTCATTAATATCGTGTCGATTATAATTCATTATTCTTCATCGTACACAGCAAGCTTAATTCCAATAACCATTAATACATGATTTATTACTACAAGTTTGACCATAAGAAAAAATTAATAAATTATTTTATTCTTAATTTGCAGCTCCTTCGTGGCTCATCAGATGCAGAGTTAAGGCAACTCGACTTGACACGTGATCCATCAAATTATCATTTTACGAATCAAGGATCAACAGAAACACTCGCCGAAAAAAATGATTATAAAGCCACATCGTCAGCATTTAAAGCGTTTGGATTTTCACAAGATGAAGTTAATACAATCTGGCGTACAGTCGCTGCCATTCTTCATTTGGGAAACATAAATTTTGGAGTTCAAGATGATGAAATTGTCATTCCAAATAAAAGCCAATTGAAGACGTTATCTAAATTATTAATGGTGACAGAAGCTGAAGTCTCAACTGCATTAACACAGCGCGTTATTGCAGCACATGGTGACATAATGAAAAAGCAACATGATAAATCGCAAGCTGAGTACGGACGTGATGCTTTCGCAAAGGCCATTTATGAGCGTCTGTTTAAATGGATTGTCGAACGAATTAACAAGGCAATTGAAGTGCCAAATAAAAATGTTGCAAAGAGATATAACTTTGTCATTGGTGTCGTCGATATTTATGGATTTGAGATTTTCGATAGCAATAGTTTTGAACAGGTAATTAATATGTGGGAACATCTTTGAGGATTTGGATTTTTTGAAGTCTCCAGAGTGTCATTACTGACGTGGTTTGTTGCTAATTGTTTGTAGCTACTGTCTTTAGGCACTCAGGGGTTTCTACAGACCTTCATTTGGCTTTTCATATTCTATTTGGAACCTGGAATCTCTCATTTGGCTATAAAGTCTTCATTTGACTCACAAGCCTCAAGTTCATATCCATAAAACCATCTTTACACCCAAAAAACTTTACATCCAAACCAAATTTTAATTGACCCATTAAAAAAAATCTCCAAAATAAATCAAGCAACTCCAATAAATCTCAATTAAATTTTTTTATAGTTCTGCATCAATTACTGCAACGAAAAACTCCAACAGCTATTCATTGAACTTGTCTTAAAGCAAGAACAAGAAGAATATCAACGCGAGGGTATCGCGTGGACAAATGTCGACTATTTTAATAACCAAATAATTTGTGATCTTGTTGAAGCACCGCACAAAGGTATTATCTCGATAATAGACGAAGCGTGCTTAACAGTAGGCAAAGTTAATGACGAGATGCTATTAGAGGCAATGGATAAGAAATTGGTTCATCACAAACATTACACGAGTCGTCAATTAAAGCCAATGGATAAAGCTTTAAGACATAAACAAGATTTTCGTATAACGTGAGTCATTTTTGTTGCTGTTTACATTTCTCATTAATAACCAATTTTCTGACATTTTTAGGCATTACGCTGGCGATGTTGTATACTCAATCATGGGTTTTATTGAGAAGAATAAAGACACTCTGTTCCAAGACTTTAAGCGACTTTTGTATAACTCAAAAGATAAAATAACATCATCAATGTGGCCGGAAGGTGCACAAGACATAAGTCGAATTACAAAACGTCCACCAACAGCCGGTACAATTTTCATGAAATCAATGAGTGACTTAGTCCAAACATTGTTATCAAAAGAGCCATTTTATGTGAGATGTATTAAACCAAACGATATCAAATCGTCAACAGTATTTGATGACGTAAGAGTTGAGCATCAAGTAAGATATTTAGGATTACTCGAGAATGTGCGTGTAAGGCGTGCAGGTTTCGTCCATCGACAACGATATGATAAATTTTTGCTCAGATATAAAATGTTGTCACAATACACATGGCCTAATTTCCGTGGACCATCAGAAAGGGAAGGCGTTCGTGTTTTGTTAGAAGAGAAGCGACTGCTTAATGATTGCAAATTTGGACATACAAAACTTTTCATTCGCAGTCCACGAACATTATTTCAATTGGAACGTGAGAGAAATGAAATGATTCCAAATATCATCATTTTCCTGCAGAAGCAAGTTCGTGGATGGAGTGCACGACAAAAATACAAGAAGATGAAGGCAGCTGTAACAATTATAAGAGCTTACAGGCAGTATAAGCTTCGTAGTTACGTTGCTGTGCTTGCACAACGCTTCCAACATGCAAAACGAATGCGTGATTTCGGAAAGTCTATCCAATGGCCAACGCCGCCACTTGTTGGACGACAGGCTGAAGTGCATTTAAAGCAAATGCATTCAAATTGGCGCGCAAGCATGATATTGAAGAAATATCCACGAAGTGAATGGCCACAATTAAGGTTGCAAATCATTACCGCAACAGCACTTAAAAAGCGAAGGAAATTCTGGGGACAGGAGAGGAAATGGATGGGAAACTATTTGGCAATGTCCACAGAAAATTCAAATTATTCATCCTATAATGCCAGTGTTAATAATATTAAGAATACCGATCAGTATAAGAAAATCATATTTTCATCATTCGTTAAGAAATTCAATAAATGTAATAAATCAGCTGATCGTGTAATAATCGTGACAGACGCAGCAATTTATAAACTTGATGGTGCCAAAAATAAGTTCAAGAATATGAAGCGAACCGTTGCTATTAAGGAGATTACGAGCATTTCAGTATCGCCTGGTCGAGATCAATTAATCGTGTTTCATTCGCATCATAACAATGACTTGATCGTCAACTTGCAAGGCGAACACACACAGCTTAAAGAAGATAGAATTGGAGAGATTATTGGACATGTGTGCAAGAAATATCTTGAGTAAGTTTAAACTTGCAAGCTTATAAAAATTCAAATTTTAAAAAATCGTTATTTTTATTGTCTAATTACAGCTTTACAGGTCGTGATCTTCCAGTCAATGTATTATCGACAGTATCCGTCAATCTCGGAGGAAAGCCAAGAAAAGTGTCAGTTGAGGCTGTTGCCGGTGTTGAAAATGTTGGCTTTAAGCACGCCGGTCAAATTATCGTTTTTGAAGTTCCCAGTTCGTATTCGTCGTCAATTTAAAAATACCAATTTAATGACTAAAATCATAAAAATAAAAGTTTTTATGACATTCCGGCATAGAAAAGGATTATTTTTGCATATTTTTTGTGCTGCCTATATCGCTACTTAATCTTTTTTTGGACATAAGTATATATTTAATATTTTTTTGTAACTTAAAGTACTTATCAACGAATGACGAAAAGGAAATAATTTTTAAGATTTATGGAAATATCATGTTAAGAGTGCCATTAAAAATGACATAACTAATCAATTTTTTTTCTCTCAAACAAAAACTCACATCATTATTGACTATAGCCAGTGGTGTTCAACCTTTTTTGTGCTATGGCACCCTTGGTGATAACCTATGACCATACGGTTCATGGCATATCCCAAATTTTATCATGGCACACGGGTTGAACATCACTGGACTACACAGATACGCATTGAGGCCGCGTATTTTCATCGATTCGAGAAAAATGAACATAAAATTTTAGCAGATTTTTTAATGTGATAATGTCAAACATTTTAACGATTTCGATAAAAAAAGGAGTAAGAAGAAATGTTGTTGTTGTGCCTTTGAGAAAGGAGAAATGATGGAAAATTTTATGAAAAATAAAGATGATGACAAATAATTTTTTGCATACCTTTACGCGACAAAATTTTTGTGTGTTTTTTTTTAAATTTAAACTAGCTCAGTGGTGGGAAAACTGTGTGTCATGGCACTGATCTAGATAATCATTCGGTTCACAAACTGTGAGCTCAACTTCCTTCTAAACTTTTCAGCTGTATTGCTAGTAAGTTTCTAGGTATATTCTACATGGATTCTCTTTTAATGTTGATTAATCCAAGGGTACGGAACTTATAAATTGAGCTTTAAAAGAAGCTTGCTTGTTACGAGATCAATTGCAATTTCAATTTCACAACAACCATGCAGTTGAGTGGTAAGTGCTTGCAAAGCCAGAAGAAAAATCAAATGTTGGCGCCCCTGAATTATATTATATTACTTACAATACCTGGATTGATGCGTTTACGAAACTTTTGATTTTAACGCGCTTGCTAGGGGGTCGTTCACTTATGACGCCCATCAAAAAACCTGTTTTTTAGACCCCCCTCCCCCACCCCTCTGTCACAAAAATTCTAAAGAAAAAAATTTCCATTGTTTGAACTGTCACAAAATCCTAGACCACCCTCTCCCCCTAAATGTCGGACGTCATAAGTGAACGGCCCCTAGCTACAGCCGCAAACTCACTGAGTAGATAGCCCTTCTGAGTCAAAACCTGGTTTGTAGTGTTGAAAGGGATGTTGGGGACTTAATGTCTCCTTTAGCAGAAAGTTTAAGCAGAAGGTCCAAGTATAGGGCTGATTAGATGATCTCTAGGCCTGCGCCTTAGACCAGGAAGTAAGTAAGGAAGTATTTCATTCAAATTTTAAAAATTTCGTGAATCCGTTGTGTGTAACAGAACATAAAAGAAGCTTACCCGAGTGGAGCACTTGACATGATGTCTAGTAAGTCACTAGACGTAGGGACATCTAATTACAATTTATAAAGAGGTTCCCAAATCTAGTAATTTACTAGACATCATGTCAAGTGTTCCATTCGGTTCCAATGAACACCGCTTATCTAGAGCAAAGAAATGAATTCAATTAAAAGTTCAGGATAAGGTCACCTACCTTATTAAACTACTCTGTCTTTAAAAAATTTAACAAAACGAATGCTTGCTTCTTAAATCCGTCAATCCAATCAAAAGATTAGGTCAAATCAAAAGTAAGTGCATTAAATAATCAAAAAAGAAACTATGGTGATTGAATACTAAAAAGCATTTTATTATCGATAACATTTTATTGCGAATCGTAAACACAAATTTTTTTGTTGACTCAAAAATCCAAAATATATCACTGGATTTATAAGCAGAAAAAAAATTGATTTATTACGATACGCTTTAATGCCACTTAGATTTTTATCAAAATCCATCTAATAACATGAAGATCTCGTAACATCAAAATGACATGGACAATCGCAGAAAAGAAATCTTCAATTTGAATTTTTATCAGCATTTCAAAGTTGTCAGCTGACTTTTGAATTGCGAATACTTTATTTCTTATATCTTATTTAGAGATCTTTAAAAAATCAATTTAGTGCAACATGGTGACAGTTACACAGTAAACAATATCACCTTTTTATGCATCTGAATCAGACACAAGAAGCTGGAATCAAATTAAAAAAGTAGAACTAAGTTTTCATGGTTTTCAGTCATTTCCTAATGAGGTTTAAATTATTACATCGCGACGATGATGATAAGCGCAGCATAAGAATCGCTTAACCGAAGATGCAGTTAATTGCAATCTAACTACATGTGCTGTGGACCAAATCCACAAATGCAAGTGCAACATACATCTAACAGCACCTTTTAATTAAGATGGAAACATTATTAGTATGAATTGATGGTTGTGGAGCCTGTTAATGTATCCAAAAGAGCATGAAAAGTAAAAGAAAAATTCTTAACAGAAATGCATCATAGATTCACCTAACTGCGGCTTTATGAGTACTTAACGTTTGAGAAACCACAGCCAATAAATCTCTGTGCAATAAGAACTATGCGAAGATGTGGTTCGAGATATGAGGATGGGGTCATTCAGTAATTGATGTATGATTCATTGATGTCTGCTGTTGTTTAAGAGCAGTGGAGTCAAGCTGGAATAAGGGAGTCTAATTGAATCTCAATTCATATCTCTTACAATAAAACCAGGCTTGTTCTAGTCTCTTTAAATAGTTCCATCTTTATATAACACTAGAGCAGTGATGATCAACCCATGTGCCGCGGTAAAAATTGAGAAATCCCACATGCTGTATGATCTTTGTCGTTTCGATCATAGTTTACCAACAAGCTGTTCCGTGACACTAAAAAGGTTGACCACCACTGTATTAGAGTCTGTCCTGACTAATATGGCCAAGACAAGCACCATCTCTAACTTGAGAAACATAGTTTCAAGCTGTTTTAAGCTCTGACTAAGGATTCAAATCCTGAGAATAAAACATACAAGGGGCGAAGCCAGGAGAAGGGGGGGGGGTCCTTTGGTACCCATTAAAAAAATTTTTAAAATACCACTCCCCCTTGAAAAATCCTGGCTACGCCCCTGAAATATACAAAATAATTAGTTTAGTAGCTTAATGACAGAATCTAGCCTGCTTCTAAAATGTTAATTTATTACAGACATCATTTACGAACGACTCGAAAACCTTTTTTTCCTATTTTTCTTCCACTTGACCCCACACACTCATATCTTCAATCATCGCATGTTTTTAAAAGATAAAGAAACAACACACAAAATGAATATATTGTGCAGTTTCAACTAGCGGCAATTAATTCATAATTGTGCTCACAATTGCATAAAACGTGAAACTTAACATAAATTTTTGCTAGGCAAAATAAAAAAAAAATAATCCACAAAGAAATAAAGAGAACGTTAAAATGTCGATGACTTTGAATTCAAACAATTTAATTAAGCATCGTCGGAATCCTTAATTGTTTGTTTAAGAGTGAATATAAACATGTATGCAGAGAGATATAGAATGAAAACACAAAAATCGGCGCACATAGACATTAAGCCTTCGGATAGCGGGGTAGCGTAAAGCGACATCACAATTAAATTGCTTTTTATTGATTTATCATCGACTTTAAACAATGTAAGTGAAGTTTTGTTGCATCGAGATGCAAAACTATAGAAAGAGAAATTTTGAAAGGGTCTTAAAGTTCAGCGGGTGATGTGAGCGCATTTTTAATGATTTGGATAAGTTTGTAGATTTTTTCATATTTTTTTAAGTCTAACATCATTCAAAGCAGTGATGCCCAACCTTTTGATGTCATTGCACATCTTAGTGGTAGGCCATGATCGAAACCACACTCAGCAAATGATTCGTGGGGTCTGGAATTTTTCTCCGCACACTTGTGTGCCGCACTACATAGGTTGGCCATCACTGATGTAAAGTATAGCTTAAGATCAACATACCTTAGAACAGTAAATGATGTGATCCACATACTGTGTGCGACTTTGGTAATGGCTTACCCCTAAGGTGTGCCGTGGCTCAAAAAAGTTTGGACAATACTGCCTTAGAATAAGCTGCTTTAAGTTCAATTGCTGATCATTGATAATTTCATATATCCAATAAACTGAAGAATCCAATGGGGTTCTCGACCTTAATTGACATCCATAATTAAGCTATTGCAGGCTGTATCTAAAAAATATTTTTTAAGAAATACCAAAAGCTACACGATCAACAACTAGATTGATGTCAGGAAAATCTACTTGAAGCTCTATCTAAACAAAGTCTTTAGCAGTGGTAGTCAACCTTCTTTGTGCGACGACACCGCTTGATGGTAAGCTATGACTAAAACGGTACACGCTACATGGTTTTTAGGATTCCGAATTTTTTTTGTGACACACTAGTGTATCGTGACACATAGGTTAGCCATCACTGGTCTATAATTATCAAGAGTTTGACTAGTTCTTTATCGAAACAAACAGACAACATGCCACCACATCCACTAAACAGATCATCCACACAAAAATCCGCTAAGACATAACTGCAATAGCATTGCCACACTATTTATACACGATGCACCAAATAAGCCAATATATGTATTATTAAAAGCGATTTGAGAGATTGGAAAATTGGAAATAAGGGAATTGAGATCAATTAATTTGGTTTTGTCTCCGCAATTACGATGAACATGTATATTTCGATTATTTACATAAATGTATGTATGCATGCTTCAATATGAGACGACGTCAAAGAAATTCTCATGATGTAAAAAAAACATATAAATTTTGCGGTTTTGAATATTTTCAAAGTGCCTCATTAAAGACATGACAAATGTGCCTATTTAAAAATTTTCTTCAAACATTCTATTAGACACAGTCGCGAATCTATAGACACAGAGAGAAATTGTGTAAAAGAAATAAAATTTGAAAACAAAAATCATTTTTCTCTCATTTTTTGTGTTAATCAGACTCAATAAAAAAATGGTGATCTTTGTTAAACTTCCCTGAACTCCAACTGACCCTTCGCCGTTCGTTTATTTTCATATGAAGCATCAAAAGTTCAATGACAAACTAATCAGAATGTGTATAAAAATTTTACAAACAGTTTATTTTGAAGTTCTATACGTCTGGATTGGGAATATATTTTGCTTGTTCAGCTGTAGTGGAAGTGAAGTGATGTAATTGTGGCAAAGTACTGGTCACTGCAAACTACACTGGATTAGAGAAGTGCAGCTATGTGGACTGACAATTTCATTCTCTGTGTAGTGTGGAGAAGTTTGGTAAAGTCTGGTAAAATCAGGTATGGTCGAGTAAAGCCAGGTTTAGTCTGATAAAGTCTGGTGAAGTTGGGTATAGTCTGGTAAGTCTGATGAAGTCGGGTATAGTCGAGAAAAGCAGGGTAAAGTCTGGTGAAAAAGGGTATATTCCGTTAGAGTCGAGTAAAGTTGGGTAAAGTCGGCTATAGTCTAGTAAGGGATGCTGATCGATAGCATGAGTTTCTTTACTTTGAAAGGAAGACATAGGAAGAAAACAAAGGCATACAATACTCTGCTGATTCGTTTGTATTCTCAACTTGAAATCAGAATTTTGGACCCGTTGGTAACTCTCATGTCAGATGGAACATATTTTGGCTAGTGTTTTTCTAAAGGAACTCTGTTATCACCTTTCATCGACATAGAGCCTTTGATCCTTAGGCTGTGCTCTCGCTGAGGTTCAAAAAGTTTAAGGGGGGGGGGGGACAAGACCCTCCTGGCTACGCGCCTGATATTTGCTAATTATCAAATCATTATTGATTGTTCCTTGCTCATTTTGAAGTTTTTTTTTTGTCGACATCAAGAAAACATTTCACTCTTCTCAGCAGCGATCGTCCAATTATAGCGAGGTCACTTGACTAGAGAATGTTCTCAATTTTCGAGTCAGGTAAAAGACAGCAATTTAGAATAAAAATTTATTGCCGGTAGATAGAAATCTAAACATTCACAATTTGAACTTCTTTCATCTACCTTTTGGGGGTATTGGCTCGCATCAGCATAACAAAAAAAATATTTATGAATATCCATAAAAAAACCCTCTCATTCTCTTTCTCTTCGTTTTCTTTCTGAAAATGTGAACTCGTGACCTTTTTCGATTCTCATTTTAAATACATATTTCTATTGACCTTTTCATTGCTCCTTAACCTTTCTCATTTACTCGTAAATATTTTATTTTTTTATTATTTCTCAACGCTCAGTTCTCGATTCTCGCAAATAGACATTTAAATTTCGATTCAATTGTTACACATTTTTTTTTCAATTTCTCATTTCGAGATTTTTTTAATTTTCTTAGTTTAAAAGTCATCGTTCGATATTCATTTGTACTGTCTCTGTCAGTCAGTAGCTTATTTTTTGTAGCTTTTTGAAAGATATGATGAGTCTGGTTCAATTTTGTCTGTTTGTCTTGTAGAATTTGATCCGGTTCAAAATGATTTGATCCAGTTCAACACTACTTTTGGATCCAGCTCAAATTTATGTTGATCCGGTTCAATACTTTTTGATCCAGTTTAATATGTGTTGATCCAGTTCTGTATATTTGTATCCACTTCAAAACTTTTTGATCCAATTCAATAATTTTTGATCCAGATCAATATTTTTTGATCCAGTTCAATACTTTTTAATCCAGTTCAATATATTTTGATCCAGTTATATATTTTTTGATCCAATACAAAATTTTTTGATCCAGTTCAATACTTTTTGATCCAATTCAACATTTTTTGATCCAATTCAATACTTTTTGATCCGGTTTAATACTTGTTGATTCAGTTCAATACTTTTTGATCCAATTCAATACTTTTTGAACCTGTTCAGTACTTTTTGATCCGGTTCAATACTTTTTGATCCAGTATAATCCTTTTTGATTCAATTCAACATTTTTTGATCCAATTCAATACTTTTTGATCCGGTTTAATACTTTTTGATACAGTTCAATACTTTTTGATCCAATTCAATACTTTTTGAACCTGTTCAGTACTTTTTGATCCAGTTCAATACTTTTTGATCCGGTTCAATACTTTTTGATCCAGTATAATACTTTTTGATTCAATTCAACATTTTTTGATCCAATTCAATATTTTTTGATCCGGTTTAATACTTGTTGATTCAGTTCAATACTTTTTGATCCAATTCAATAATTTTTGATCCGGTTCAATACTTTTTCATTCAGTTCAATACTTTTTGATCCGTTTTAATTACATTTTGCTCCCGTTCAACTCATTTCGACTCAATTTTTCTAAGATCAATGAAATTCATTAATAAATGACTCAATTTAATTCTATTCCAGAACAAAGGCGCTCAAAGTCACTATGAATACCAAATCCTTAACTCATTTTCAAGTCTCTCTGTTTGTCTTTATGACCACAGAAAAAAAATTTCTTTTTAATGTTCTGCGATGTGTATATAAAATGTGCGCGCACTAATTCCTTTGATTCATCAAATGTTTATTAATATTTCGCATCCCATCATTGAACTTTTAGCTTTCCACATAAACTAGTGAATTAAAATATTCTTTTTCATTTCTTCTTCTTCTTATTATTTATTTGATTTTTTTGTATTTTTCTTCTTGAACCATGTGATGAAAAACTCCGACATGCCATAAATATAAAAGAAGAATTACAGAAAGGCATTCACAGAAGTGCGACGAATTTCTAAAAATAATTCTTGCTAGTAACACAGAAAGCACTTTGAGAGGTTTTTATTTTACTTTCATATTTATATGTCGAGTCGCGGCGGGGTCATAGTCGCCTGAGAGGGTTAAATAGTTCTATTTATAATCGCACTCAATTGTTCGTTCTTTTTTTTTGCCAATCACACAATAAATTTTATGTAGATTGCAAATATATAAATTCCCATACACACACACAAATAGATTCTCCCCCATAGCAATAAATAATTGATGACGAATTTATGTGATATAAAGTGCATAGTGCAATGACAAAAGGTCTCATTGAGAGATCATCACGATTTGTTTATGTGAGAGGGACAAAAAAAAATTGAGAAAAGAGAAAAAAATTGTGAGAATTTGAGTACAACGAGGAAATTCCGCTCCGAGAATGATCATAGTGAAAAATCCTGCCTTTATTTTTGTTTTCATTGAATCAACAGTTTCTCACCCAAGTTATGATTGCTGCTTTTTGCCATATTTGTGCACACACAACAGCAATCGCACAAAAGACATAAATATAAAAATAATAAAAAAACATTTGCATAATTTAAAATATATCAGCCTCAAAAAAAAAAAGAAGTAATAATAAATGTTTTTACGTCCAATTTATTATGTCCACATACAATATATCGAGAGATGAAGAAAAGTTTGAATTAATTAAGGTGTTATAAAGAAGCATCAACAGTTAGTAGTTACGAGGAAATATCACTCGAATAAAATGTCAATCAAGCTATAAAATCTGACAAATTTTTGATACGCTATAATTTATTTTTTTTTTCAAAATTGGTCGAAACTAAATTATAAGTTTCTTCTATTAGGCATTAACAGTTCCGTTTTCATCAATTTTTCACGTCTCTTTTTCGGGTTGATTTGCTCGTTGAGAAGCAGTTGCCTTTCATTCATTTTTTTTTTCTTTTCTGTACACTTGTTTTTGGTGATTTTTGAGATTATTTTACAGGTTCATGATTTACAGGTAGAAGATCAATGTGTTTATTGTGTATGGAAGTCACTGAGTGATACAGTTTTTTGGGAATTCTTTTATATTTCTGCATTTTAAATTAGAATAAATCTCAAGAGTTAATATAAGATTCTAATAAGATGCAAATTTAGTAGAAATTAACTGATCTTAGAGTTGTAAATTATATTTTGGATCGAGAGGAATGATAAAATGTATTTTATTGCTTATTGCACTAGTGCGGCACAGCTACAGGGTCGTTGATTAATGACATCCTTGACAAAAAGGATTTTGAGACCTTCTCTCTTATGTTAAACAATTATAAAGTGTCAAGGGGCCGTTCACTTATGACGTCCGACATTTAGGAGGGAAGGGATCTAGGATTTTGTGACAGTTCAAACAATGGAAATTTTTTTCTGTAGAATTTTTGTGACAGAGGGGGAGGTTTAAAAATCAAGTTTTTTGATGGACGTCATAAGTGAACGACCCCCAAATAGTTTCACTCCTCTGTTCCTGCTCATATGATATACTTCATACGTAAATGATTGCTAGTCTTATTTAACATATATTTATGCAGGAATGCCTAATTTAATTTCTAATGATATGCTAGGTTTGTCAAGTGTAAAAAGGGCTATTTTGAGTATTTCCTTCTATTGATGCCTTTGGAGCAGTATCTTGCAAACTATGATACGCGATAGACTTTAGCAATTGTTCCTAATAACGGATGATTATCACTTCTCTAGATTAATGTAGCTTTACATCAGCATGAAGCTGATATCGTATTATAAATCAGAATTAACTGGCTCCGTTGAGCTGGACATGTTTTTAGGAGACCTGTTGAAGCTCAAATTAATAAAGTCTTTAAGAATGTTTCTGGTAGATGGCAAAAGATCACGCGCACGTCCCAAAAACTCTTGGAATGAAGCTGTTGACTGAGACAGTATTGCATTTGATATGGGTAACTTACAAACAGGAGCCAGCTATAGAGACAGCTTATATAAGGCAGGCCATGGACCACAATTGATTTATAAGTCTGGCAAAGTAAAGTATCCTCAGGATCTGGTTTCTTAGTATACCAGTGAGAGTCCTAGGTGAGGAATGAAGTTTAATGTACTACAAATTGGGCTTTGAATGAAATTTATCTTAGTAGGGGCGGGAACTTCGGGTAAGAGAAATGATTAAGTAACTCCTTGATTATTTTCAAATTTATTGACATTGCAAACTTACATTCAAAAGTTTCCTGAACTTTGGAATCACATACTTAAGCTTAGTGTTATAATTTCAATCTTATGATGTCTCATTCGAGTCCCATTTGAGACCCATTTGAGTTCCATTCGAGTCTCATTCAAGTCCAACTTGAGTCCAATATTAAACTTTCAGATACCAGCATGTTATCAAAAAATGCGCCTTAACCCACCCTCAAATCATATCATTGACAGTTCTCAATAAAAAGATGTTTTTATCATCATAACTAAAACGCAAAACTCTGTTTAACTGGGACGAAGTAGTGGCAAGCACAAGTGTATTTATTTTGTATATTTAAAGAGAGAGTCACAGTCGAGAGTACGAGAGAGTCCACAAAGCGCTCTCTTAAAGTGAAAGAAGACATAGAAAAAAAAAAATATTTCAAAGTGTTTAAAGGTTTTTTTTTCAGTTTTGATTTTTCTTTTGCGACAGAACGTCGGTTTTTTAAAATCGCTCTCGTCGTTTTGATAGTGCTGACAAATGGCAATGATATCTTAAAGATTTCATTATACTTTATTTTTTGGTTTGCGACAGCAAAAAATATTTTTTTTTTGTTTACTCGTCTGAACTTTTTTTTTCGTTCAACAATAAATCTATTTTTTGTCAAGAACCGAAAATTTTTTGTTGTGAGTGAAATTAATATTTTTTGTGACAATTCATTTGAAAGATAAATAAACGATATACATAAGAAGAAAAAAAAATATAAAATTGAGTGTCGCATATGACGAACTTCAAATGTGGGTGTTATGAACTACTACTACATAACAATCAGCCGCGCTCGACCCCGAGGAAGAGAGCTAGCAACAACAAAATAAATAATAATATATAAAAATTAAATCATTCACACAATAAAGATTTTTTTTTTCGTATGATATTATTCTCACATGTACACACAGAGAGAGAGAGTAAATTTTTTGACACATGATTGATTAACGTTCTTTTTTTTTGATGAAGTTTCAATTGAACCTTTTGAGTCGGTAGTGTCGATGACGAGTGAAAAGTTATTTTTACAGCTGGAATCAAAAGGAGTGAATAGAAGTAGCTGCTACTTTATTTAATTAATGGATTATCATCAATAATTATTTGAAGAATTTGATTATTTTTTAAAGTGAGTGACAATTGACACATTTCACAATTTGTGCAAAATAAAATAAAAGTCCGGTAAAAGTCGAACGGAAATTAGAAATAATAAAAGTGTCTAAAAATAACAAATCGTGACTCAATAAGGCTTACTATTTTTACATTTATTAAACTTTGAACTTGTAACACAGAAAAATAAGAATTTTAAAATCGTATAAATTGATTTTTTTTTTCGGGGGGAACTTTAAAGAATTAATAAATTAACTTATTTTTTTTTGTAATCCAACTTGCAAGTGACCTTCATGATTGAACTCGAACTCCGCGCGCAAAAAATAAAATATTAAAATAAATAAAAAAAAAATTGAAAGATCACGAATTTTCATAAGCACATAGAATATTTAAGTTATAGCCGAGGTGAAACAAGGCATAAGGAAAAAAAATTAATTAATCGGCAGTAACAGTGAGAAGTGGAAGTACATAGAAATTATATACAATTATTATCGGCCGAGAAAGAATTCGTGAAAATTGAGAAAGGCAATTTTAACAATATTTAAGTGAATTGACTACCTTATTCCATAGCCACAGCGAAATCATCAGTAAAACGAGGAAAAAAAATTATTTTGAACTTTGAACTTGCTCGAGCTCCTCAATCTTAAACTTTATATGTGAGAATTTGTCGAACTTAACCTCCGTGAAAGAGCAATTAAGAAAAAAATACGTGATTTTCTTCTAAGTGCAATTAATGTGTATGGTTATAATTTTTTTTTGCTGAACTGATAAGAGCTAGCGAGGAGAAAAAACTACATAAAAAAAGTTATACGATAAGGGACTTTTTTTTTTCTGTGTCGAGGCGATTCTCGCTCTGTTGTGAAAAATTGAAGCGACGAAAAAAATAAGAAATAAGAAAAATAATTTAGTGAACTTAAAGTGCTCGACACTGTACACTGTTTACTAGTGAAGAAAATAAATATATATAAAGGTTAAAAATACCTAAAGAGCCGTGAGGTGACTCTTTTTTGTACACAACATCGAAAGCGATAAATTAAAAACTTGTAAAGAGACTCAAGTCGAGTGAATGTGTTAATAAGTGACACATCTACGTAAAAAATATAAAAAATATATAAAGTAATACTCTTCAAACATGAGGGAACTAGATACTGAAGCGCCCGTTGTTTGGCCAGCTTGGTGTTATCAATCAGGTAAGTCAATATGAGAAAATTTTCAGCAAATTCAACACATATTTATCGTACAGCTGTCGTGGCAGCACGATGAATTATTGATTATTGATTTTTTTTCTTCTTCATTTATATTTTTCAATAAGACGTTCTCTTATGTGGCTTTTGACCTTAATTCCTTACTCATGTCACTATACTTTGTGACACAATATTACCATCTAGATGGAATAAGAAGTAATAATAAAGATATAATGTATGGGGGTGGATACAAGTGACGTCAATTTTGTTATTGTATTTTTTAAGGCATTTTTGATGTTATAGTGATAGAAGAGGGTTTGTGGATGTTAGGGATCCGTAAAATGGCTAGAAACTTCGCATTAAAATCCTCTCATTGTCCTAAATTCCAAAAATCTCAACTCCCATCTCCATTTCTATTCAAACTGTCACAAAAAATTATTTTATCGACAATCACACACATCCTCAGACTCCCCCTCACCTCCCTAAACCTCAAATGACCCCCATGTAATGAAATAAATAAAAAAAACACAAACGACAAAGTGGATAATGTACAATTGAATGTGAGGAGGAAAAAAAATCAAACAATACTCCATTTCGGTTGGAACCTACTTAATACTCATACCGGAAATGGATAGTCATATTGTTTTACAAATTTAACGATTCATGAAACGGCTTCGTCGTGGAATGGGAAAAAGAAGAAGAGGAAGAAAAAAAAAAGATTTTTCATTCATAAAAAAATTGACTCTTTCGCTTAGTCGGTGTATAAAAAAATTATTTTTTTTTCGAGTATTTACTGAGAGTAATTTTGCTTGCCTTTTATGATTTTTTTTGAGAATATTCTCAATGCGTCACGTGCATAGAGATGAGATGCTCTATCGAAATGTCACTGACACGTCATCAATGTAATGAAAATGGCATTTTTCCTCGCACATTTATATCGAGAAGATTAACATTAAATTCTTCGAATTATTGCTTGTGACATTATACGATGAATAATCTCTCTGTGTCTCATGAGAGATAGAGATATTGACTGTATTAAGAGGCAGATACTTTAATGGAAGTGCTGATAAATCGACATATTGGAGATTATTGTTGGAAAAAATAAGAATCTCGTTTATAATTTTATAGTGACAAGGTGGGTCAATTTTGAATTATTGCTGGGTACGGACAAGGTGTTTAATGATATAGGTATGGAAACTTAATGGTTAATGCTGTGGATGCATAATTGCTGTCTTTTGAGCATTTCCCGAGTGGACAAAGTACTAGTTAAAAGCTTGCCATTGACTTGCCTTTTCACGGCGAGTAAGTATCCATTGACGTGCCTTTGCAACTAGACTTAGGGACGACTAATGACATATTTTGCGCTTTCCATTTAACTGGACATAGGAATTGCAAATATGTCTAGTTAATGTCCAGTTACAAAAAAATCGAAATAAAATAAATAACACGTGTCTTTTTCTCCATATTTTTTTCTTTTGTAAAATTTTATTACTGTATTAGTGTAATTAATTAATTAAAGTACACTATCACTTATGAAAAATCTCTAGTAAAAATTGAGTCTCGAACACTTGCGCGTGAAACAATTATATTTACTTAAAAGTTTCATACAAATTTTGGTGGATCTTATATAAGTGATTTCTGTAAGCGCTTGTGAAGTATATGGTCAAAAAAGTAAGGAAAATTATTTTTGAGTTTCGAACACTTGATTGATTAGCATGAATGTCCAGTTAAAGTCTAGTTAACGTATAGTTCTTTATGTCGTATAAATTTGGGCAAGTCAAAAGACTGTTAAATGATTGTCCAATAATGGACTTTAACTGGCTGTGTCTACCCGGGTTTATTATGGAATTTTTGAGTTGCTTGAGCTTATTATGTTGAATGGTATTTGCACTAGCTATACGCTTTGAGATTGAGACTCTTAGAATGCGATAAAAGATTAATGAGAGCTTGGCACTATTGTTGCAGTATTTAAATCTATTCTAAAGTTCAAAAAGGATTTCAATATATTTGAAGCAGCACATATTATCATTCTACTAAGAATATACCACCTGTTGCATAAGATTTGGTTGAACCATAGTTTATACTAAGATTTAACAAAGCTTTTGAGTTTCTAACATATTATTATAACCTCTGAATGCAGACAGCTCTAGATTTTCTGAGCTTAGGCTCAAAACCCTAAAAATCTTACTCAACTGAATTATTTAAAACTTAAGATTAGCTTCAATTACACAAAAATTCATCAAAAAAATAGTTCTACTGAATCAAAACCTCAACCACAATTTAATTAGTTTTTCAAGAATTTTTTTATCGCCAAAAAAATTCCTAATAGCCTCATATCTTATCTAGCATGAGTTCTGACTAAATCCCTTCACAGCTATTTTTTTCCACTTAATTAAATTTTAAAGTTAACCCACCTCGACCACCACGTGAATTTTTATTGAAAAAATATGGACTAATGGAACAGAATGATGTTTAAAGTCATGGCGTGATTGGTTGACGGCCAAAGTCAAAGCGATCTCAAGGTTGTTTCAAAGATTATTTGCCCAAGTAAAACAAAAATATAATATTCTAGTTTCTGTGGTTTTTCGCGATCTGCAGAGCAGATTTAAGTATTATTAATTTTTTTCTTCTCTGAATCAGATATTTTCTGTATATATTTGTTCTATATAAATGAAATATACTTCAGTGCCCATATTTGTATGAGCTTGAACTCTGCCATTCCTCATTCATCCGATTAGTTTGTCAAGCAAAAACAATAAATATAACGTGGATATGGTAAGAAATAATGATGAATTGGAGTTGGGAAATTTGAACTGATTTTTTTGAAGATTTTAAAGCGCATTTTAGTAAGAAAATTCCGGATTTTTTGTTTTAAAAAATAAGCCAATTTAATTGTTGATAAAATTTTAAAAAAATAAATATAGTTTTTAAAGAGCCTGATAAACAAATTGTATTTAAAAGTGATAAAGTTTTGAAAATTATGATGTTTTAAAATTTTAAAAAAGGATTTCTAAAGTTTTAGGTTTTATTTGAATTTTTTAAAATTGAAACATTTTAAATTCAACCTAAAATGAGTTTAAATTTAAATTCAAATTTTTAAAAAGATTAATTTTATTTTAAAAGTGTCATTAAGAATTTAAAAATCTAAAATTCAAAAATTCGAATTAAAAAAATTATAATACTTTTAAAATTCAAATAATAAATTTAAAAGTTTTTGAATTATTATATTCAATACTTAACCTGTTGAATCTTTTTATGAAAAATATTTCACAATTAAAAAATTACAAATTATCACATAAAAATCATTCATTTTCGACGCCATAACCATCAATTCATGCTCGACTTGACAAATTAATTTGGCACCAGTTGATGAGAGGATTTTAAAAAGTGACAAATAATTTGTAGCAGTTTTCATTTATTTATCATTTTGAGGCTTAACAATAAAACAACATTTTAATTCAATTTTATCACAAAACAGTGGTTTCGATTAATCATATTAAAATATTAAATTATATACGCCATGTAATGTGAGAATTTGTGAATTTAAGAGCCGAAAAAAAAATATTCATGTATTAAAAAATAAGGCACTTGCTGGATTATATAGTAAAAATTTATGTATTTTTAAAAAGGTATTAGCGTCAGTACTTCATTTAAATGTAAAAAAATAACGAGGAAAAAGCAAATGTCAAGGAAAATTTGTCGATTGTGTTTGTTTAGTAAAATTTTCTTGAGACTTGAACTTTGATTTTTGTACAAAAAAAAATTAGAATCTAAAACAATTCAATTTTAAATTTATTATAACAACCTTCAAGACAAACCAAACCCAATTCACCAACCCATCCTCAAATCAAGCTTGAAAAAGGTTATAACGCTGTCACATACTTCCACATCGCCCATTTAAAATGAGCAAGTATTTAAAATAATTGAATTAACATTGCTGACACATACGCCCCTTAATATTCACCTTTTGTATTGCTGCTATAACCTGCATATAAATTTAATACTTAAAACCGAACCTAATAAGCTTCGCTATACGATTGACGTTATTGCACTTCGTACACCCGCACAAAGGCATTATGTAATGAATAGAATTTTATATATTTTTTCGATGACATTTTATAACCTATCGTTCTATCTCTCTTTTCCTTTATTTGTTTCGCGTTTACATGCAAATGATGATTATAATGATGATGAAAATAAATATTTTTTTATTATTTTCAGCAATTTTTTTTATTATTTCTATAATAAGTAATGAAAGTAAAGGAAGAGAGAAATAAAAATATGAAAAGGTTAACGAAAATGTCAGAATTATAATCTAAACATTGAACTATTTGACATTCTCCCTGTATATATAATGCGATTGAATTCTGTAGCGATGAGCTAACATTGTAATTGTTGGAAATGAACACAGTGAGACACACAACATTTATAAATACGAATTATATATCACGTCTTTGCTTATTCTTCTTTTAACCAACTTACAATTTACCTTTTCTCATTCATTTGCGAACAAATGTCGTTGTCGGGGTCGAATATCGTCAGCGTTATGTGGGCGAGCGCGTGAAGCACGCCTTTTGTTAACTTTCAACTCTCTGACTCTCAATCATATGAATAGTTTAGTCTCTGAGGTAATTTTATATTCATTATGAATTATTTCTTCGATCCAAATGATGTCCAAAAATGGACATAATTGTCATATTAAGCTAGTGGTGTAAATTAAACTTCTGATTTGGAATTCAATGAATTGGAAACTTTTGTTTGAGTTAATTGTGATTAATTTGATCGTAGTTGAGATCATAGTTGAGTGAATAAGGTTAGAATTCATGAAATTAAGCAATAGAGTTGATCAATAGACCAAAGTTTCTAATAAACATTCAAAATTAGACACGAACTATTAAACTTTTTTGTTTACTTAATGAATAATTCATAGACTGAAGAAAATATGGCATGAAGACTCACCTGACTTCTTATTAAGTGTGATTCATGAGCTTGAAGGTGGATTCTTA